AAAAAAAAAAATGTTTCATGTTGTGTTGGCTTTCAACAAGGTCGTGTCATCTGCATGTTGCAGGTTGTTAATGAACATTCATCCAATGCTGATGCCTGGTTCCTTATAGATTAAATAAATATGGTGAAAACATACAATCCATAGGCACATTTTTCCTGCTTTTAAAGTATGCAATATTCTGTTGTTTTTTTTTAATCAACTGCCTCTGTTCTAGGTACAGGCTCTGCATGAGCACAATCAAGTGTTTGGGGATTCACATTCTTTCAAATGTTATGCATTTTTTGTTGTGAGTCACATATTCAACAAAACACCTCTTTCTGGTATTTCCTGCTTCAGCCAAGAATCATCGCATAGCAGCAATTATATTCCTCTGCTAGTAATATTACTCCAGGCATGTTTCACAGTGGAGAGAAGGGAGGGAGCAGAGGCATTAGTTGATGAACCCATGGAGTCTCTATTTTAAGTAGGTATATCTATGTAGGCAATTGGATCTATTTTCTGATAGAAATTATTCCTAAATAAAAAAACTTCTTGACTAGAATGGATATTTCACAGTACTTCTCTTTAGATTTATTAAGAAGGTCTGGTGTCACTATATGTAAGCACTGAACTTCTAACCAAACAATTATTGGTTTAAACCCACCAGCTGCTCCTGGGAGAAAGATGAGATTTTGTTTTTCCCCAACAGTTTTATTGGCAAGTAATTTTCATGTCATATAATTCAACAGTTCAATCATTTGATCATATCACAGAGAATTTTACAATCACCCCGACAATATCACACCCATGATTAAATCATATTTGAGATGATGTGTGCAATCACAATCCGCTCTACTGCTCCCTCCCCCATTCTGTCTTCATTAATTATTCCAGAAATCCCCTTTCCCTCCCTATCTCCCACCCCCACACCTGTATTCCCTTGTATCTATTATTATCATTATGCATTCACTCCTCCTGTGCTTCACAGCTCGGATGGCCAACAGAAAACCAGAAAAAACAAAATCAGGTTAAGGTGGTAAGGGTCAAAACATAATAGTATACAGACAAAACTACTAGTAACGTGTAAGAAGGAAAAGACCCCCAACAATAATCAAATAGCCAGGGAAGACATTTCTGTCATGGAACCAGTAAGAGAACCTTGCACCCAGAACAAACTGAGATCGCACCTATAGGGTGGTCAACTGGCCAGTGTCAAGTTCGATCCAGCATCATCAAGAATTCAACGGTCTCTGCCTGATGGATCCTTCTTCTGGCAGTCCATGGTGTATTCAATAATCTCTGTCAACACAACAACTCAAGTGCCTCCATTCTTCAAGGGTCTTTCTTATTCATTGCCCAGATCTTGCTTGCATATGAGGCAATTGAAAAGACCATGGCTTAGGCAAGATGTACTGTAGTATACTCACTGCCAGAAAGATGAGATTTTTATGATCCTTTAAAGAATTACAGCCTCAGAAGGCTGATAAAGGTTCTCTATAAGCCAGAATTAACTGGATGGGAGTGTATTTAAATTCATTATTATCCTTCTAAAATGCTACGAACTATAATAAAATATTTCCAAATGTGGAAGAAAATGAAATATTTTATTTATAAAATCAAGATAGTGAATACTTATACAGTGTATAAATGATATACATTTCAGCATGTCAATGCTAAAAAACATGAAGATACTAGATTTTTAAAATATATTCATAGTAGAATATTATGCGGATGAAGAAAATCAGAGAAAAAGACTGAAAAAGTAAAGTGATCATTAATACAACTTACACCTTTAAAAGGAATACAAAGTCAGGAGTAGATTAAAAACTGGCAGATAGAAAAAAGGAATTTGTGGGTGACATTAATGACTGTTCCAATATAGAAATAAAATAGATATGCTGAAAGGGTAACCAGAATAGGGACATTTTTCAATAAACTTTATTTTAGTAGTATCCATTGATATGTCACAATCATTTTTTTAATGTAATAAAAGTCATTTTTTTAATTATATCCTTCAGGGCTTGTTTTACTTGTTTATTTCTTAGGGTATATATAAAAGGATTTAGGACAGGTGCAACTGAAGTGTTAAGTATTGATATCCCCTTGTTTAAAGCTACCCTTTCCTCTGCAGAAGGTTTAATGTACATAAAAATGCAGCTGCCATAAGAGATGGAGACAACGATCATGTGGGAGGAACAAGTGGAAAAAGCCTTCTTTCTCTGTTGGGCAGAAGGGATTCTCAGAATTGTTCTTATGATGTATGCATAGGAGAGCACCACCAGTGCCAATGTAATCAGGAGCGTGACAATGGCTAAAATAAAGCTTAACAGTTCTAAGGTCTGTGTGTCTGAACAGGACAATTTCAGAACAGGAGCATAGTCACATCCAAAATGATCAATAACATTGGCATCACAGAATTCCAAATCCAGGCCCATGATAAGTGCAGGAGAGATTATTAATAACCCAGCCAAGCAACAGGTAACAGCCAGCTGGGTGCACACTCTATTATTCATAATGGTCACGTAGTGAAGGGGTTTGCAGATGGCCACGTAGCGGTCATAGGACATGGCAGCCAATAGGAAAAATTCTGATGCACCTAAGAAGATGGCAAAGAACAATTGTGCCACACAAGCATCGTAAGAAATTGTTTTATCCATAGTCATAATGCTGAACAGGTATCTAGGGATGCACACAGAAGTCATTGAGATTTCTAAGAATGAAAACATTCGAAGAAAGAAATACATGGGTGTTTTGAGGTGGGAATCCAATAGTGTGAGCAGGATTATGGTCATATTTCCAGCAACACTTAATAAATATGTTAGAAATAGGAAGAGGAAGATTACAATTTGCCAGTTTGGATCATCAGTTAGTCCTACAAGAATGAATGTAGTTACCATCGAATGATTTCTCATGGTTAAATTCCTTTTGAATTTCATCAGAGCTGGAGAAAAAAGAAAAGAAAATTATCACAAAACAGCATCATTGAATATGGATTAAAAACTTCTGTGAAGAATTAGGTAACTTAATTGAAATTCATATGCCTCTTATACCTACCACTTTAAACATCATATCACATCTCAGTCATAACCCAGGATATAATCTGCTTATTCCATGTTCTCTGACTCTCCCTTTCTAAACCCCTTTTTAGATCTTTAATTTGGAAAATAAATGGTTTTTGTTTTCACTTTCCTTTAAAGCATCAGTAAATTTGTCAGGTTTAATGTTTTATCCAGGTACTGAGTGGCTCCAAATGGAAATAGATTTTAAGTTAGGAGATATATATCTATGATCAAGATCAATATTTGCTCATTCTCTTTCAGGATGATTTGTTTATTATGTATTCTTTTCCATTTGAAACAATCAAATCTAAATTCTGTCGGTAATCTTTTAAACCGGTTATTTTTTCTTGATATATTTATAATAATTGATTTGTTGCAACTTCAAATTAGGCTTTTTTTCAGTACAAATTTATGAAACATTTTATCACTATAAAATATTAATTTACACTCAGTAATCTTAATGTACTCAAAAGTTAATTAAATAGGAAGGAATGTGTATAGTCATGATCTTATTCTAATTAGCAAATATATACACTATTTTAAATATATACTTCAAAACTCTGATCATAATTTACATAAATATTTCCTTTTTTCTCTAATTTGGATTAACTCCTTTAATTTATGGCCACATACATGTTACAACAATGTCTTTAATAATTCCTTTGTAAACTAGACTGACAATACTTACATTCAATGAACTCTTGACGGGTTTTATTAGCTGATGAACTGTAAAAATTTTCTTTGGTGTTAACTTAAAATTTAATATGAATAATTTTTATAGAAGTGTTTATTTATTGAAAATTCATATTTTCCCATCTATATATATTTTTTGCCTCCTCCTGACTAAAGGAGGCTTTGCTAATAATTGCATGAAGGAATATTTAAGAAGAAATTTAAGCATTGGTGGATTTCTCCCATTCTTCAGTGAAACAGCACACAGGTGAAATATTTCAAATATGATTTTCTTGATTCCTTATGAATAAAAATGTATAGTGCCAGGGCCACCCTCACTTAGTCTGAAAATAAAAGCTGTTCATCTGGAATGAAAACAGTGATTCATTTTCACTAGAGTTTCTGATCTGTCTCAAGACAAGTGATTTTATCCTTTCTTCACCTTAGTTTTATAATTACTCTATAATAGCAACGATGGTATGCACCATAATACGTTGCCCCAGGGAATCTTGTAGAGAGGATACTCACTGATCATCTAATCATTAACTTGAAAAATAAAAAGAAAATTATAGAGTTTTTTAAGTGTGTCATTATGGGCTCTATTGGGAAATCTGAAATGGAGTACAATTTTAAGTTAGAGTGCAATGCCACAGTGAGCTATTAAAAGGTGTATTAACATCTTTGGGGGATTCTGAGCAGCTCAAAGTATTACATGCTCAACTAATAGATTACGTGTTTGCATTTGAACCTACCCAGAGGCATCTCTCTAGAAAGGTCTAGGCCTATGAATCTGCTATGGAAAGGTCCCAAATTTGAAAACTCTATATAGAATAGTTTTATCTTGCCCAAATGTGACTGCTATGAGTTGGAATTGATTTGCAGGCAACTAACAAAAACAGTGATTTAGAACATGATATTTTTCAATGTTATCTGTGGTGACACTGGTTCAAAGAGAGCTCTTCCGTTGTCTGTGTACATGTTCTGTCTGTTATTTCAATGTTCTGGAATTCCAGTTCTTTTCAATGCTATTTATAATTTGATAAGATACACAGAGTTGAAAGCCTTTGAGTAGTGAAAACTGCACTATACCTTACAGAAGAAACCCTATGAATGGACTTTGCTAGATTGTGTTAACTTCTGTTTACATTAATCTTGAGTAATGATTAATTTCCTTTCTATGTTACATGAACAAGACATCCATTATCTTAGAATGTAGGAAATATATGTATATGTAGGCATTTAATTGTGCCCATGGTAGCATGAAAACTGTCAAGAAGTCGCACCACAAGGGTATAAGTTTTCAACTTGCTTTATCATATTGCTACTTAAGCTTCTGGTGAATTATCTGCAGAAACAGTTACTCAAGAGACTTTAGGTAAAAATGAGAAACTATACATTATAGGCTATGTCTAAAACTTAAGAGTAAAATATTTTAAGTGGTGCAGATGATATCCAAGTGAACAAAGAGAGCAGGAATAAAGCCGTCGTTGGACAAAGATTTTAGTAATCTTTTGAATATGTAAAGAGAGGGAAGTGTTCATTAAGGTAGATAGGCCGGAGAAGCTGATGCTTTTTAAATTTAGAAAGTAATCTAGTTAAAATTGTCTCCTGAATTCTGTTTCAATAATTACAGAACACACATGGATAGGATAATCATACTCAAATCATGAAATAAAAACTGAAGTTTGTAGAGACCCCAATGCAATTATTTTAAAATATTTCATTATCAAACAGACTGTTCTTCTTCTCACTTTGTTCAATTGTCATAGCCTGCATGTTCCTCTGATGTAGAATCTATGCTTCTGATATTTTCAATGCCATCGGGGCCTTTCCTGGTGGACATATTTCAGTGCAACTTCCAGACAGACAGATGAGGGCAAAACGCCTGGTGATCTACCATTCAGAGCCAGGCAATGCAGACCCAACGGAAGACAGGCGAAGAATTTCTGAAAGATGAGCCCTCCACATGCTCAAGAGTCATGCAAAATGCACGGTAGTCACACCGGTGAACTCAAGGAAAGCAATGACTGTGAAGATGTGCGAGAGCCGCCTTTGTTTATTCTGGCGTGCACGCACGGGGTTGCCAAGAGTCTGGTAGTTAATAACTAACAATTAAAAGTAAAGCCAATTTATAATTAGTAGAGAATCATATATAAGAAAAGAAAAGCAGTAAAAATGACTCCATTAAGTATTTGACTCCCAGCAACCTTATATAGGCTTTCCAAGTCTATTCATCTTTAAAGAAACAGACAGTCTCATCTTCCTGGAAATGCCTGGTCGGTTTGAACCACCCACCTTGGGATAAGTCCAATGCTTATCCCACAGTGCTACCAGGATTTCTTAAGTGAAAATAAAACTTATTAAGATCAAACCAATAAAAGGATCACCTCAAGAAAGCGAATACATCAGTAAACAGTAGAAATAGGCTTGAAATTTTCTATTTAGTTATTTTGAGATTTAAAGAGAGTTTTCTTTTTTAATAAGAATACTGACAATTTTTTATATCCTTATATATACTGATATATTAAATATAATTATCTTATATATTATAATACATCTCCAATAGAATGATATGGCAACAGACATTTTAAAAAAGGAATTGCATGTTGTGTTGTGTTTTGACCTAGAGGTAGGGGGAGAGGAAATTTAATGGATTTTAATATACAATGCACAAGCCTTATAAAGAAAATGTAATGCATATAACATGTTATAATTCTAATTTCTATTGACTAATGTAATTCAGAAGACCAAATTCCCAGGCAAGATGGATAGTGGAATGTATGAAAACATGTACTGAGAATTGTGTAAAATATTCTGTTATAAGTGCCTCCTTTCAAAAACTTAGCTATCAAAAGTGAAAGTAAGGAAAATAATATGAAAATCAATACACTGTAGGAAAAAAGAAAATATAGGATATATAAAGAAAACTTCAATAATTCACTATACTAGAAAGAAAAAAACAATGGAAAAGAAGATAAAAGGAAAAATTATTTCTGAAAATATTCTAGTTCCAAAGAAAAAGCTTCGGAGATCCCAAAGTAATTTCAAAATATAAAATATTAGGGTATCTTGAATTACTGTTGAAAATGATGGAGGAATTTGGAAATAAATATTGGCAGTGGTGAAGCATAATAGCAGTGATTAACTTAATAAATAATTGATTAATATGAAAATATATTGAAAATAATTAAAAGTCTAAATTGCTTGACAGGTGCTCATCTTTCAAAAGATGTGTGAAGAGCATTAATAGTTAATTAGAGGATGGTGTGTGGGAACAGAGACAAAGATATAAAAAAGGAAGAAAGGGAGTTTGTCAAAATACCTGTGTTAGATAGGATTCTCTAGAGAGACAAAACCTGTTTGCTAGTAATTTTAGATAGATAGATAGATAGATAGATAGAT